CACACACACACACACACACACACACACAGCCACGTGGAGGGCCAGGGGGGAGGTTCCCGGGGGTCTGGGAGGGAATTGGGGATGCGGAGCGGCTCCCCAACCCATTGGGAAAGAAACAAAAAAAGTGAAAAATTGGGTGAGTTCGGGGGTGGGAATCGAAATAAGGGAAAAAAAAATGGTTAATTGATTGATTGATTGATTGATTGATTGATTGGAAAAAGAAACACCCCGCGCGTTCACACCTGTGTTCATGTATGTGTGTGAGTGTGCCTGTGTGGGAGCACGTGCGCCAGTGTGCGCCCACACACGCACGCACACGTGTGTGTGAGTGTATCAATTGATTGATGGATTGATTGATTGATTGATTGATTGATTGATTGATATGATTGGAAAAAGAAACACCCCGTGCCTTCACACCTGTGGCCATGTATGTGTGTGAGTGTGCCTGTAAGGGAGCAGGTGCGCCAGTGTGCGCCCACACACGCACACGCACACGTGTGTGCGTGTATGTCTGTGTGTGTGAGCTGTCTCTTATACACATCTAGATGTGTATAAGAGACAGGAGAGAGAGAGATGGAGATCAGATCGCTGATAAACGTGGTGAATTCGGTCGTTCCACTGTACGTGGCAATTTTGTTGGGATATCTATCGACGACTAGATGGAAGTATTTCACCATGGACCAGTTCACAGGGATGAACAATTTGAATAGCATATTTTTGATCCCCTTGTATATTCTGCATTACCTTGCTAACACGGATCTTCGGTCTCTAAGTGCCGTCTTCATCTTGGCCGACACCTGTGCAAAATTCTTCATCCTAATCTTTCTCTGGATTTGGATACGGTACTTGTGTACGGCAGGGAATCCCAGTGAACGGTTAGAGTGGCTGATCACATCTTTCATGATAGCCACGTCATCCAATCTATTCATTGTGGGATTACCTCTTATGGACGCTATGTACGGCCCAGAGTCCGGTGGTTACGTGGCACAGATCGCTATCATGGACGTCCTTTTATGGTCTCCATTGTATCAAGTGATATGCGAGCTGGTCTTGTCGGCGCGGAAGAAGGAAGAGGAAGTAACTTCAACTTCACCAAGTGAGGACGTGGGCTCGGTGAGCGAGTCAGACTGCGAACTACCACGAAAGCCTAAGTCCCAGACTGTAACTGGGACTGTCATCGCTATCATGGGACAAGCAGACCCTGGAATGGGACCTATGGGTCCCGAACGCGGACTGGTCTCAGCAGGGGACAGTGTACGAAAGCCCACACTTGCAAGAGTAAGTGATAAAGCCACGCAAGGTGCTCGAACCTATTCCCACACCCAGTCCCACACCCAGTCCCACATCCAGTCCCACAACCGTTCCGATGGCCCTTGCTCAAGACAGAGACGCTCAATCCAGGCTCAGGATCACGAGTATCATGGTAGTGTCCATCCTAGTACAGCCTCAGAGACTAATCTGGCTGCATTTGCTGGCAATGGCATAGTAAACGGGCAGAATGTGAAAGGGGGGGGGCACCCACCTCCTCCCCCTCCTCTCGGTTCTTCAGCTTCGCCAGCAGCTCTCGATTCTCCTTCTGCATCCTTCCCTGCATCACCCCTCCATGTTTCTTCTGGATTCTCTCTCACTTCTTCCCCTCTCTTCTCTCCTCTTCCTCCACCTGACGGTGCATTGTCCACCGTGTCAGATTGGATCCCGGCTGATTTCTCCTCTTCCGTTGAGCTTCCTTCCATCGATGTTTCCACTGCGAGTTCTGCCGCTGCAGCGACTCCTGCATCTGGTTATGGAATTGATGTTGACGACAACAAGCGGAGGGGTTGCGATGGGCAATCCGGTGGTCAGTCGTCGGGACGCCGGGATGCGACGGGAGACCGGGAAAGCGTTGACTTACAAAAGGCCAGCAGTAGAGGACAAACAGGTCGGGATACGGATGACCACCAGCAAGCGGTCAAGGACTGGCGCGGTGGATTGCCGGCAGCAAGGGGAGGGGGAGGGGGA